CACTAATAAAATGATTTGCCTTATTATTTCTTAAATTTGGGGTAGAATTCACCAGTAAATCTAAGCCTGACATTTTCCTTGTGGGTATTAAATTAGTTCAGATTAAATGTATTTGCTAATGATCAATGACTCATATTTCCTTTTTCACATTGTATCAGTTTGGATAAATTGTATTCTTCTACTAACTTGTAGAAATTTACTGGCATATAGTTACCCATTCTATGTTCTTGTCCTTTTTAACAACTGCAGAATCTATACAAAGTCATCCTTTTAACACGGGGTATCTATGCTTTCTCTCTTTTCAAACAGCAATTATTTGGCTTTGTTGATCCTCTCGCATTTGTGTTTTGTATATTATTATATTCTGAGTATATCTTTTAGTTTTAGGATCATCTGTTTAACATCTCCAAAATATGCTTAGCATATTCATTTTTTAGCTTTTGTTTTCTTACAGCAAATGGATATAAATTGTACTTAAAAGGAGAGTGCCCTCTAAGCACACCTGCAGTTGTATCCCACAGTCTTACTTTTCTTCGTTCAGTTCAGCATAGTTTCTAATTTCCACTGGTTCCTGTGGCAGCTATAGAATCTGCTGTCAATTTGGGACTGGAGAGGATTCAGAGTGAAGGATTGGCATCTAGTCTGTCAATTGGGTCATAGCCAATGGAGGCTCTGTGTGGGCATGGCTGTCTACTGAGGATTCTGGGAACTCTTGTATTTCCTCCTTGGAGGTGGGAGACACGCTCTCTCTCTGCTCACTCCCTGAGACAATGCTCTACTGACAAGACACATACCCCATGCCCTGAGAATTGGAGGAGCCATGTAGAGACCCCTGCCAGTGCTGAGATGTTTCTACCACCACTGGATCCAAGTGACTTTGCACCCACTGGCCTATGATCTTCCTGCATTCTGTCATATTGCATGTGTTTTGTGAGCCAGAAGAGGAGTTTATAGATTGGTATTAGAAATACCGGCTAATATTGGACTTAAGGACTTGATCTGCACTGGGCTGGGATGTTTTCTCAATATTCAATTGCTCTTGTATATAAACCTCGTTCTTATTCACATATGAGTGTCTATGCATTTGTTTTTCTAGTCCACCCAGACTAACACAGTTCCTTCTTTAGAATTCCTTTATTATGAGTCTGCTTGTGATGAATTCTCTCAATTTTGTGTAAAGCTCTGTTTTAACCTTCATTGTTGAAGAATGGGTTAACTAGGTGTGGACACCTAGGCTGGCAGTTATGTCCTTTAAGTTATTTAAGTCCATCATGCCTTGGTCTTCTGATTGCCACATTTGGGGGACTGAGATGTCTCTTTCATATGACAACTCTCTCCTGAATTTTCTGCAGTTTTACCATGATGGAGCATCGGTCTGTGGGTTTACTGTGTTTTTTGAATGTATATTAATGACTTAAAACTAATACTGAGTTTTTAAATTCTCAGCATTATATCTTTAGATATGACTCAGACCAAAGTTCTGTTTTCTGAGGGAACAGCAAATACATATGTATCTGATTTGTTTATTAATGATGTTTTTATGTTTCTGCACTTCTGTTTATATTTTCTCTCTTTTTATCTCATCTTGGTCTATTCTGGGTACTTTCCTATGAATTAACTTCAAGTTCACTAATTCCCTCTTTTGAGTATTAAAAATATGCAGTTAAAAGCATTTATTGGGTGATTTTTTCAGTTCTAGATTTTCTATTTGATTTTCCCCTTCATCCATGTCACTTTTATAGGCTCTAGCTCTCTGCTGAAGTAATTTTTTTTATCTTTTCTGTCTCTAAAAAGAGTAAACATAGCTATTTTACCGTCTATGCCTAATAATTCAAATTCTGAGTACTCAGTTATTTTCTTTTCATTTGTATCATCTTGTTGTGTGTGTGTGTGTGTTGAACCTGACCTTTAGTGGATGCAAGGATACATTCAGCTCATCTCCATTTTAATGGTAGAACTGTCTTAATGTTTTAGATTTCCACTCCGATGGTTTTACAAAGGGTTTCAACAAAGACCCTGCCTGCAGTGACTTTTATTACTCTAGCTCCACTTGCTTCTCAAAACTTGGAGATACCCCCAGGGGGAAAGCAATCTCAAACAGTAGATTCTTTTCTATGGATTTCTGTCTTCTTTTGGGTCTTCCCCCTATAGTCCGTTGCTACCTCTAACCTATTATTAGATGTACTTGTACAGATAAACATACACATATATTTACTACATACACATATCCTAAACAGGTATTTATTTTTTCCTATTAGAATATGGTGAGAGGTTTGATTTGAACGCCCAGCATTTTGTTTGTTAGTATTAGAAGCTAGCCTCATTCTTTTTTTTTTTTTTGGGGGGGGGTGCTCTGAAAATATCCTGCCCTGCAGGTTCTATTCTTTAATTATTGTTTAAACTAACTCCTTACAACCTGAGCATCTCTATCATTTATCATCTTCAAACTGTAACAGAAACCACCAGGAAAATAATAAATCTACATATCGGCCTCACTGGTCCCCAGCCACTACTTCGTGTTCTTCCGGTGGTAACCCCAGGAAGTAAGTAAAACGTGCTCCATCACCCTAATTCAGAGATCACGGAGGTGATTAAAAGAGAGAGAGGGAGGTAAGTGACGTGGTTAAGATCAGGGGCACATACAGTGGTGAAAAGCACACTCGCAGGCAATCCAGATCATTCCTACGAGAATGAGGAATGTCTTCTAGTATTTCTATTTGATGGTGAATATGCCCCATTCTTAGAACAAGTGAGGAAAACGTAGATTAATCTCTTTCTCTCTCTCTCCCTCCACTGGGGCATGCTTTTTACTAAAATTACCTGTGAGGATTTTTTTGGCTATTCCAGCCTTTGGTTTGGTTTGGTTTGAACGCACCTTCTCGGATGTTCTGTGTAAACCTCAAGTAGTTGCTTCGAGGGAAGCGCTCCCTTTCACCCTGCTGGTTCTCTTCTTCTAGACCCCCAGTGGGAGGAACCAGGCTTGCTCCATAATTGGTTATACTTGACGCTGCCCTCAGTTCATTGGGAGATGGTAAGGGAGAGGTTTGGTGGTAGAGGGGAGTGAAGGCTTATTCCCACAAGGGCTACCCCATCTCTCTCTTGATCCATCTTTGTCTTTTCCAAACAACATGTTCTGCCTTATTTAACCTCTAAAGAGAAAAACGGAAACCTGGATTAAGATAAAAAGGGCAGGACGGATAGATTGGAGTTGAGATTAACTAAAATGGGAAGGCTTTTAAAAATATAACTGGATATTCATCCTCAGAGGAGATGGAAAATAGACCCCTTAACAGAACATTAGAGTTAATGATTCTGAAATTTTCTGTGATTTAATTTTACTTATTATATCATTCTCAATTTATCCCATGGGGTTTTTACTCAGATGTATGGGGTTCTAGAAACAAACTCTAGGCAAAAAGGGGAGAGTACAAGCTGAGAGAGAAATAAATGGGAGAAGGGAAAAGTCATCTAGTCTCTCTCCCTGCTGCTTTTGAGATTGAGAGTTCTCTTTGTGCCCAAGAGCTTTTGAACATACAAACCAATCTTAGCCTTAAATCTGAGGGTTTTTGTTTTTTTAAACTTTTCTGTGATCTCAGTGCTAAAGAAAATCTATCATCTCATCAATTTAGGAGTAGCAGAAAGAGTGTTGGTACACATTTATTGTGGTTTTGATAATACCTGCAGATGGGAATTAGGGTCGAACTAGTCAGAGAGCTGAAGTTAAAAACCATCCCTCCTCAAAGTCATGTTGAAGTTAATATGATCTGCTCCCTGGGCCTTTCTCGTCAGAGGCTGCAGCCCTGAAACCCTCTGAGAAAGAGGAGATTTCTTCTGGCTACCTGGGTAGATTCAGAAGGTGCCACTTCGTCTGTGCTACCTAAGCAAACCTGTCCTGTCTCGTCCACTTCAACTGTCCATGATTATGATCCAAGTGTGGTCCACTTGCTGAAATTATGGTGATTTTTCAAAAATGCCAGTGTCAAAACGTTGCCTTGACAGTACATCTATAACTACTAATAATGCTGTTTTGGGCTGACTCAGTTGCTTTGAAATTACACGATTCTGTTATGAGTAAATGAGAGGCAACCAATTATCTATAAACTAACGGAGCACACAGAGAAGAGTTTGATGAATTGCAAACAAACTCTGCTGACACAACAGGGTGTGGAGTTCGGGGTATGCTTGCATATTTTGCAAACAATGTGTCCCCTCAATTCCAGCTGGAGGTGGGAGTGGGAACAAAGAAATGCTAAGAGCTGCCCCCTTTAGGGTATGTTACTTAAGTTGTAGGAAATGGAATCTCCTCCTTAACAGGGATGTGCAGAGGCAGCAAACTCAAGTATTCAATAGCAGATCAAGGTTGTCTTGTTCCAGAAAGGCTCTAGAGCCATTGTCATGGAATTGGATTGGGAACACAGGCTACAGAAGCCGACACAAAATCCCTACCCCCAGTTCTGAGTTCAGGACATGGAGCCAAGACACACAGTTCCAGGGGCAGATGCTGAATTCCTGGAACCAAAGGGTAGCGCTTGGATGATTTTATGTCAACTAGACACTCATAGCTGGGGGTGCAGTCAATGCTGTCAATCAAGTGGTAGCTTGCTGATACTTCCCTGGGGATGTGGCCTTTGGTATAAAAAGGAAGGACCCTGGGAACTGCTCGTTCTCTCCCATCTCCCCGTGACTTTCCCTTCCTGCTTACTGGGACTGTGCTGCAGACCCTGGGAGCTGTAGGCCCTGCCATGTAGCCACCAACTTTGAGTACATGTGACCATGCAACAACTGGTCGGTGCTCTTCCAGCTTCCTGATTGACCAGCCTCTAGCTACAGGAGGCTGAAGAGAGACTTACAGACTAGCACTGGACTCAGGGACTGGAGTTGGACTAAGCTGGGATGTTTTCTTGATATAGAATTACTTCTTGGTATAAAGTGTTTTCTTATGCATACATGGTGATCACTGGACTTCTCTCTCTACACAGCCCAGCCTCACATACAAAGTATTGCCAACACCACCAGGCGCCTGTCAGGTGCGGACTACGATGCTGGCAGCTCTGTGTAGCAACCTGTGGACTGGTGACCTTCTGTTGACCCGAAAGGTAATGCTTCCTTTTCACTATCACACACACCAACTGAGATCCAAAGTCTCTTTCTGAAAGCCCAGGGATGCGGAGAATGACTAAACAACCCAAACACTTCCTGAAGAGTTACCTGGGAAGAACAAGAGAGCTCCTCAGCCTAATCAAGCTACCACAGGGTCCCCTGCTGGCCGTACAATCTGAGGAGAGGGTTTAGCTGTGGAAGGTGTATCTCTGTGGTCCTAAGGGCACGCTTCTGGGATGCAAAGGGTTAATCAGGGTTTCCCCACAAAGAAGGTAGAGAACGGAGTTTCTACGTGTTGAGGTGTCCTGAGGTGTGTCCACCCAAACCTTTGGCAGAGAGCAGCATTTTGCCCATCAAAGTGCTTTGTTCCCACTGTCGGCACCTCGGGTGCCTCACCTCTGGTCTTTAAAGTAGGCTCTCCCTGGGTGGAGTCTCTGGATGCTGTAAATGGTTAATATACTCAACTGCTAACCAAAAGGTGGAAGATTTGAGCCCACCTGGGGGTATCATGAATTGGCAGCCATTCCAAGGCACGTGGCTTAAAGGCAAACTGTAGTGTTTACGACTTGGGCTGTGAGCCGCATGGTAGGTCAGCGGTTCAAAATCACCAGCAGTTCCTTGGGAGAAAGCCTGGGCTTTCTAGGCCCATAAACAGCTACTGTCTCAGAAACCCACGTGGGTCACCAGGAGTCAGCACTGACTCGAATGGCAGGAAGTTTGGAGAATTTGGTGGGGCCCAAGCCTTGGGAGCTGGTCTCCCAGGAGAAAGTCATTTCAAACACATCGAAGCAGTCCAGAGAGGACTTGAGCTGTCTGGAGAGAGGTTCTGGGCCCCCCCTCACGTCGCTTCACTCTCATCCTCGGTACCTTCTTTCCTGCATGTGCTGGGGTGGCTGCAACCATTGTGGAGTTAGACTTCCACAGTTTTGCATTCTGGTCTCCACCACTGTTTCTATAAAGCTAAAAAGCATGACAACTGCTTAAAGTAATTTGGGGAGCTCTACATTGAATCACGGAGGTTCTCTTTTAATCCTTCTAAATAAGTCAAGCAGAGAGTCTCCGTTTGACTCCTTATTAACAAAGAGAGAATGAACTGCAGTCCCCAAGAGCTACAGGCATCCATAGATTTTAGTGGCATATTTTTTATGTTTAACTTCCAATTATACCAAGTGCTCAACTCAACTCACTGCCATGGAGTCAATGCGACTCATAGCGACCCCGCTGTTGGTTTCTGAGACTGTAACTGCTTATGGGAGTAGAAAGCCCAGTCTTTCTTCCTCGGAGCTGCTGGGGGTTTCAAACTGCTGACCACATGGATTTCAGCCCAACATGTAACCACTGTACCACCAGGGCTCCACAAACCAAAGGATGCTATAAGCTTTTCATTGTGTCTGGGATATAAAGTTTCAGAAATATGTACTGAAATTTAGGGAGTGAATCAATTTTTTAAAATTAAGTAATGAATACCCTTGCTGGTGCCCAAACATGAGAAAAATCCTGGTGAAATGGGAATGAATGATATGTGAGAAACACTATCTGCCTAAAGGTGGTATCATCATTATGATTAAGATCTTGCCTGTATCTGAAAGGTTGGTACTTTGAACCCACCCAGTGGCTCTGTGGGAGAAAAACCTGTCACTGTGCTTCTGTAAAGATTGCAGCTAAGGAAACAGTTCTATTTTGTTACTTAGGGTCAGTATTCCTGAGAATCAATGCTAGGGCATTTGAGAAAGTATCTGCCCAAGGCCATGTTACCTGGAATGGTGGAGAAAAGCGAGGAGGAGAATGGAGTCAGGATTCTGCATGCTCTGGAACATCGTTCAAGTACAGAAAACAACTCGGCCACATGTAGGAGACAAAGGAGGCTTGCTACTCACTCCTCTAAAGATCTACAGCCTAGGAAGCCCAAAGGGGCCCTTCTGCTCTGTCCTTATAGGATTACTATGAGTTGACCTTGACTCAATGGCAGTGCATTTGCTTTTTGCAGATTTGGCAGTATGTACCTGGAGGGAGGCACCAGAGAGCATGCTGTTAACAAGGCTGGCAAGGAAGTCCAGCACAGTAGGAGGAGGTAAGCCCTCACAGCTCAACCAAGGTCAACAGAGCAGGAGAGGTGGAGAGACTATGTAGAGCAGCGGTTCTCAACCTGTGGGTCGCGACCCCTTTGGGGGTCAAACAACCCTTTTACAGAGGTTGCCCAATTCATAACAGTAGCAAAATGACAGTCATGAAGTAGCAATGAAAATAATTTTCTGGTTGGGGGTCACCACAACATGAGGAACTGTATTAAAGGGTTGTGGCCTTAGGAAGGTTGAGAACCACTGATCTAGAAAAGTCTGTAGGGTAGGAGATATTGGCTGCAGAAGTGAGAAGTCTTGTAGCAAGGTGGGCATTTCAAAAACTAGAAGAAGTTGGATTATCTTCATTCAAATTTTAGCTCCGCATTTACTAATCAGAGAGTCCTAGTGGCATAGGTTACAGGTTGGGCTGCTAACTGCAAAGTCAGCAATTTGATTCCACCAGAGAAAGATGAGGCTTTCTACTCCCGGTAAAAAGACAGTCTTGGAAACCTATGGGGTTAATTCTGCTTTGCCTTATCGGGTCGCTATGAGTTAGAATTGGACTTGATGGTAAAGACTTGTGAAATACTAACCACTGCACTTAGAATGATAATAGAATCCAGGTCTTGCAAAGCCTAAGTCGGTGTTAACCTCTAAATAGTAAACTAGTGGCCTCCTTGGAGTATCTGGAGAATTGTACGGTTCCGTGGGCTGAGCACCCTGTTTAAGAACCTTCCAACATGTTCTCCCTAGGACTGATTTGCTGCTGAGGGTATAAACATTTTGAGAAGGTCAAGTTTATCTGAGTCTTAGATAAATAAAGGGCACTTTTTTAGTTTAGGCAGGCCCTAAATATTGCATGCAAACTTGACTTGTTAACAAATGGCAGAAGATCCAGGGGCCCATGCATTAAAATTTGGCATGTATATGAGTTCGAAATAGTTAGGGCACACCAGGGAAATGGGATCTTAAAAAGAAATGAAGGCATATTTTCTTTCCCTTTCATCTCAGGAAAGGTGTGCATCTGGGTTGTATCCTCTCACCTTACATATTCAATCTGTATGCAGAGCAAATCATCAGAGAAGTTGGATTATATGAAGAAGAATGTGGCATTAGGATTAGAGGAAGGTGGTTTAACAACCTGCCACACACACAGATACCGCCTTGCTTGCGGAATGTGAAGATTTGAAGCACTTACTGATGATGATCAAGAATTATAGCCTTCAGTATGGATTACAACTCAATCCTCACAATTGGACCAATAGATAAATCATGATAAATGGAGAAAAGGTTGAAGGTGTTAAGGATTTCATCTTGCTAGGATGCCCAAGCGATGCTCATAGAAGCAGCGGTCAAGAGCTCAAATGGATTGCATTGGGTAAATCTTCTGCACCAGTCTCCTTTGAAGTGTTGAAAAGCAAGAAGGTTACCTTGAGAACTAAGGTGTGTCTACCCCTACCTGTGATATTTTCATTTGCCTCATATGCATGTGAACTAAGAAAGACTAAAGAATCAAGGCATGGACATCAAAGTTTTGGCAGAGAATAGTGGAAATACAATGGAATGCCAAAAGAACAAACATCTATCTTAGAAGGAGAGCCAGAATACTCCTTATGGGCAAGATTGTCAATGTTTCATCTTACATACCTTGGACACATTGTCAGAAGAGATGTCCTTGAGAAGGATATCATGCTTAGTGTGGTAGTTGCATAAGTTCATGTCAACTTGAAGATATAGGTGGAGTTTAGCCTGTCAATCAGGTGACAGCTTAGTGACCTTATTTTGTGTTGCCACCAAGATAAATAGCTCTCTGGAGGCAGACCAGACTCTCTCTCTTCCTTCACCTTCCTGTTGATGCCATGCAGAGACCCGCTCAAGCCCTGGAAATGTGTCCTCTGCCAGCCATTGGATCCATAAGGCTTTCCACCCACCGGCTGGTGATGTTCCTGCATTCCGCATTGATGAGTCTGAAGAGGGACTGATGGACTAGTATCAGTCTTATGGACTTGGGTTGGATTGGCCTGGGATGTTTTATTGATGTATAATTGCTTCTCGATATAAAGCTCTCTCACACATATGTGAGTGTCCTTGGATTTGTTTCTATAGTCAACCTGGCCTACCACACTTGGGAACGTCGAAGATCAGTAAAAAAGAGAAAGGCCCTCCACAGGATGGATTGACACAGTGTTTGTAACAATGGGCTCAAATTTAAGAACAATTGTGACGATGGCGCAGGACTGGGGGAGGGAGATGTTTCATTCATTCATTTCATTCATTCATTTTCATAAAGGCTCTGAATTGTCACCTAATAACACCTTTCACCTCTAGAACAGTGAGTTGCTAGTTTATAAACTCGGGTTCATGTCTATCGAATTTCAGTGGCGGATATTCCCACATCTAACCAGGCCTTTCTTCAGAGGGACCTCTGTGTAATCTCCTAACCTTTCAATTACCTGTATTTGCATCCATCATGAACTTCTTTGTCTTTCTAGGCACATGTATTTAGTCTGTTTATACTACAGGCCATCATGATGCTCTTGGAAAACATCTGAGTTGAAATCCCTCCCTTTCCACTTGCTACACTCCCACTGCCCCCACCATTGCCATGGAGTTGATTTGGACTCCAGTTGATGTGGACCCCTGGTGCCCCCAGGTGTAGCCCAGGTACTAGTTTTGAGATAATTGGCAATCCATGCTACATCGCCCAAGGCCTCATTTCCTACATCTGAAGGTAGGTTAGGCCTATAAACAAAAGGCCCATCAAGAACAAAACAAATGCTAACTAATTTAAAAACCTGTGCAAGCACTGTGGCAATAGGCTGTGTAACAAGATAGAATGAATATCTTCCTGGAAAGACCCATAAGGCAAGTTGATTTAGCCAGAAGACAAGAGATGCCAGTCCGCCAGGCAAGACAGAAGCACAACCTGACAAAGCAAAGCAGTCGGGAAACTTTGGTAATAGGTTTGAAACCTCTTACAGCATCTAGAAAAATGCATTCTAACTATTCCACCGTGCAGCCAGCCTCAGGAAAAGCCTAGAGCTTTCATTTGCCTCTACCGGACAGCACTCCTGCACAGGAAAGCCGGGCGTGGGAGAGGCCCAGGGTCAGCTGAGAGAGCTGAGTCTAAAGAATGGAGACCCCACTTAAACAGGACACTTCAAAACCACACTCTCACTGGCTTTCAGAGCAAGAGAAGTGCGTTTGCAGTCGTGCCCACAGCCCTCGGTTCTTAGATAAAGTAGCCCGATGCTACTGGGGGAAAAAGAGAACGTGACTAGTGTCAAAGGTCAAAAATAAAACTGTGTCCCTGCAGGCACCTGAGGGCCCAACCAATGAAATGATGACATGGGCGAGGGGAATCAGCCTTCCGAAGTGCAGGGCCCACAAACACAGCACAGCCACCCTGAACAATAACTGATTGGGGTAGTTGATGTTGGGTCTGTAATTCAGGAAAATAGTTTAAAAGTGGGGAGGGAGGGTGAGGAGGAGAGACAAAGACAAGGAGATTTTTTTTTTTCAACAAACCTAGAAGTACTGAAAATAACCAAAGAGGGCATTGTACAGTGAAAGCAGAATGACCACATTAAGCATAGTTTCCAGCTAAAACCAGGAACACTAAGTGGATGATAGAATGCTTTCTACTCCAGTTGCTACAGGTATTTGTTAACTGTTGTAAATTCGCATCGGGTCTGTTTCAGCAGCTTAATATAAACACAGTTGCTACTGCCAGGTGAAGTAGATAATTCTAGAAAGGAAAAGTAAACTGGAGGAGAGGATCTTTACTTGGGGTCCACAGCCTCTAAGATGTTTTATTAGTACATTTGCCAGAGAAAATGCACAATGCTCACTGAAATTTGAATCTGAGATTAAAATAACAACAACAAAGGTCAAAACCTTTTCATAGACTCATGAGCCCCTCAGACTAAGGTCCCAGGTGCTCGCTCTATGTATCTATCTGTCTAAATTCATGTCACATGTTGCATGGCAGCCCTATTTAGTATCACAGTGAAAGATCCATTGTATAAATAATTGGTGTGTCATATGCATTTTAAAAAGGAAACAGGCTACAACTTCCTAACAGTCTCAAACCTCTGATCATTAGTGCAAAGAGATAACTTTATCAAGCCCTGACATTTCCCTGTGCTCTGAGCCTTCCAGCAGCTCAAAGTAAAGGGAACAATAGGGGACAAATGACCAAGGGCCTTTGGAGAGAAGTTTCCAGTAGTAAAGAGGAAGGAGTGTGCCTGGGTGTGGCTGATAGGGTCCAGAGGGAGAGAGAACTGGTTCTCAAGAGGCACACTGACTTCAGGGAGACCACCAGGGGCTAATGTGACTGAATACTGGCGTGGATTGAATTGCATCCCCTCAAAACGTCTCAATTTAGCTGAGCCTTGGTTCTCCATGATTTGGCAGCTATGTAGTGATGTCCTTTGAATGCTATGCAATGCTGTAATCCCTCCTCATGACGTGAGCTGATGTGATCAATCAGCTGCCAGGGGATCAGTTGTGAGGGGATTAAGTCACAGCCCTGTAAAGGGAACAGCCATGGGACGTGGCTCCCATGACCTTTAATCTTACAGGAGATAAAAGGAGAAAGATAACAGAGAAGGGGTGGGCCTCAAAACCACGAAGGAAGTACTGGAGAGAAATGTGCTCACTGGACCTGAGATCTCCGTGCTGAGAACCTCCTAGAGAGGTAGAAAATGAGAGGCCAAGCCACATGCAAAGCAATAGCTATACCCTAAATGAACACGTCTTGCCTCCTAAACTGTGATAAAGTGTCGCTTGTTAAAGCCACCCGCACAGGGTATTTTTGTCAGAAACAAATGGTCTAGATACCCAGGGTAGCTGCTCACCAAGAAGTTCTAAGCTGGAATCCGCCAGAAGTACCTTGTAAGAAAGGCCTGGCAATCTACCCCTGAAACATCAGCCCCTGGGAGGGAGCACGGTTCTCCTCTGAGTCCATGGACTGCCATGTTCAGAACTGACCCCAAGGCCCCTGGTTGGCTGATTCACCTAAGAACTCAGGACTTCAACCCAAGGCCCTATCGTTTGGGGACTGTTAAACGATTTGGAGTGCACTGAAACCAAAAAGTTTGTTTTACTGCTCTGGGGAGACGGGATTGGAAAATGGCTGGGCAGAACGACGAAAACTGAGGATTCTGCAGGAGGTGATGGAGAAAGGCGCGCTGGGAATGCATTCTTAAGGGTCAGCGTTCTCTCCCCCTCCATCCTCACGTCGTTTGCAACTCACACACCGAGTGTTGGACAAGCCACTGCTTTACACGCACCCCCCACCCCCACCCCAGTCCTTTGGGGCGCTAGAGTCGTGAACCCCGCAGCCGTACCTGCATCACTGGAAGTAGACACGCAGCGCTGCTGCTTCTGCCGCCATTTCTTCCTCTGAGCGCCACGTGGCTGCGCAGTCTTCTTTGTCATGTTTCTGGAGCTTTGGGGAGGGGGGGGGGGAGAAAAGAAGAAAGAAACGAAAAACAGGCTCATCAATGGTTCCTTGGGATCTCCTGGAACAAGTGTTGTGAAGGGAAGGCTGGACAGAATTCTCAAATCAGAGGCCAGTAGCTGCTTGTGCCCTTGGATGGCAC